TAAGGGTGGTGAACGCCAAGGAAGGTAAGTCTGCAGCTGAACAGGACTATAAAAACCATCTAGGGCTTCCCTGGTGGCGCAGTGGTTGAGAGTCTGCCTGCTGATGCAGGGGACATGGGTTCGTGCCCCGGTCCAGGAAGATCCCACATGCCGCGGAGCGGCTGGGCCCGTGAGCCATGGCTGCTGAGCCTGCGCGTCCGGAGCCTGTGCTCCGCAACGGGAGAGGCCACAACACTGAGAGGCCCGTGTACAGAAAAAAAAAAAAAAAAAAAAAAAAAAAAAAAAAAAAACCATCTAGTACAATCCACTTTCTTTTTTAAGATAAAGAAATTGAAACTCAGAGAAATGAAGTGATTGCGGAAAGGTCACATAGCAAGTTGGTAGCAAAAGTTAATACTCAAGGCTAAGACTTAGTTTCTTTTCTCCAGGACCCCACACTTGGCTTAGGAAATAGAATCATAATTCTGTGCCTAATCTAGATAAGCTTTCTCTCCTGGCATCAAAAAATACCACAGTGGATTTCCATGGTGGTGCAGTGGTTAAGAATCCACCTGCCAGTGCAGGGGATATGGGTTCGAGCCCTGGTCTGGGAAGATCCCACATGCCGCGGAGCAACTAAGCCCGTGTGCCACAACTACTGAAGCCCACGCGCCTAGAGCCCGTGCACCACAACAAAGAGTAGCCCCCGCTCACCGTGACTAGAGAAAGCCCGCACACAGCAACTAAGACCCAACGCAGACATAAATAAATAAATAAATAAACAAACAAACAAATAAATAAATAAAAACACCATGATATATCCATCCTAAATATCTGGTAAATATCTGGACAGATCCTGTAGTGTTTAATGCCAGATTCTTTCCTTTGTAGTTGTAAAGTCTCTAATCATTCTTTCCTCATCCTCTCTTTCCATGTTAAAACCAAACCAAAACAAAACCTCTAACCCTTTTAGGCTCTGAATTTTCACCAAATTCTCCATTAAGTTTTTAAAAAAACTTTACTGAGGCATAAATTACATTTCATAAAATTCACTCTCTTTTAAGTGTACTGGTCAGCGATTTTTTCTACTGAGCTGTGCAATCATCACCTTAATCTAGTTCCAGAATATTCCCATCCCCCCCAATAAAATCTCTCTGCATTTACAATTAATCTTTCTTCCTGCCTTGAGTTGCAGGTCACAAATAACTGACATTTTTCTCTATAGATTTGCCTTTCTGGACATTTCAGGTCAATTGGACCATACAATAAGTGGTCCTTTGCGCCTGGCTTCCTTCATATAGCATAATGTTTTTGAGGTTCATCCACGCTGTAACATGAATCAGTAGTTAATTCCCTTTTGTTGCTGAATAGTATTCCATCGTATGGATATGCTGTATCTGTTTATCCATTAACCCGTTAGTGGACATTTGGCTTGTTCCACTTTTTGGCTATCATGAATAAAGTCTGCTTCCACTAATTTTTAAAAGTAGTAAGGATTGCTTAGTATAGAGAAGTGTCACAGAAGTTTTGGGAGTTTTGTGGAGATTGTTTATTTAAATTAAAAAATACAGAGAAACATAAAGAAGAATACAAATTAACCATTCAGAGACAACCAGACAATGTTCTACACTTTTTTGCTAAATATATAGACTTTTCTTATAATAAGACTAAACTGTACTTACTTTTTTGATAGCTTATTTTTTTTAAGATTTTTTTTGATGTGGACCATTTTTAAAGTCTTTTATTGAATTTATTACAACATTGCTTTATGTTTTGGTTTTTTGGGCTCAAGGCATGTGGGATCTTAGCTCCCCAACCAGGGATCGAACCTGCATTAGAAGGTGAAGTCCTAACCACTGGACAGCCAGGGAAGTCCCTTGATAGCTTATTTTTAAATTAATGTTGTCATGAATAACCTTTCTATGTGAATTACATTGTATTGAATTGAGGTACCACAATTTATCTGATCTCAATGATTAGGTAATTCAGTTACATCCAATTTGCTGGCCGTTATAAACAACAATGACTTTGGCTATGCTCACTAAAGCTGTCTCCAAACTAAATTCATAAAACTATTTACTTCTGTGTTCTTTCAGCTCTTTTATGCTTTATTGTTTATATTCAACTTTTTATTTCTTCCTGATGGTATTTTGGCATTTGTTTACCCCAAAGTCATCCTTCCACACTGACTTAAAAAGCATTCTTTAATGCACAGCACAGATGGATATTGTCCAGAATCATTTCTTAGGTTTCTATTCTATTTCATCAAGTGACTTAAGTGCCAATAACATCCTGCTGTAATCAGAGCTGACTAGAGCATGATAATACATGGCAGCATTAGTCTTCCTTCAATGTTATCTGGTTTCTTTTTGTACAGTTCCCCAACAAAAAATCCTCAGAAGTCTAATTTTAGCTAATATGTGTATCCTGGAAATTTAGATAAAATTCACACATTTTAATAGCAAAATTGTTTTCTGAGTTCACCAAGAGAACTCCTGGTTGAAGAGACCTTGGGGTGACTTATTTGGAATCCATATATCAGTAGTCCCCTCTTGTCCGTCTTTGTCTATCATCTTCTACTCCCCCACATGACTACCACGTTCTGTTCAGATGGGAGTTCTGCACTCCTTCTCCTGTCCCTGTGATGAGATGGCCATGAACTGTGAGTCAGGTTGTTCTCAGAAGTAGGTGGATCTTAAAACCCTAGTGTACCTACATAGCACCAATACAATCCGTGTTAGGTATGAACTTTCAACTCAGGTACCAAAAAATGTAACTTTGATTTTTCAATATCTGAATTTCATTTCTCTCTCTAGCAGCAGTTTGCCTGTCAATTTATGGTAAACTCAGTCACTTCAGAGCTTTTCTTTAATCTCTCTGAGGTAAACTCAAGGGGTTAAGTTTTTCTCTTCCTCCCTAATTCACCCCAAGGTGTCATTTTATGTCTAGGAAGTTTTCCAAAAATCATGGAACTGAGTAGAGTGGGGTGGGTCTGAGAGGGCATCTGATGCTTGGAGTCATTTCTGTTACACAGACACGTGCAGGAATGTCCAGTCCTGTGTGATCCTCAGTCATGGTCATCTCTCCATACTACCATCTACAGAGACATCCGAAGTCCTATGTCGTAGCTGTACAGTCCGTTCCATTTTCTGCTGAGAAATCGCCTCATCAGCGCAAGGACCTTTATTGTCCTCAAACCGCAGGTAGAGTGGCTCCTGCTGGGCCCCATGTTTTATTGACACCCACTCTGGCCCTTGTCAGGCAGTGCCCATCCAGAGCCCTGGACCCTCCTCCTTCTAGAACACACTCTGGATAGCCAAGACTCTGTGATTCCTTATCTAAATGCTCCTGAGCCCATCTCCAGGGTTGGTGCAGGCCTCTTTCCTGAGTGGTCCTTCTGACGGCAAACTGCCCCTAGTGTACACGCCCTTGGACCTGAGTGTGGCCAAAGGGCAGCTGTTTGCAGGGGCGTGGACAAAGCTTAGACATATGGACAGGGGTGCCCACGCATGGGCCAGGGTGGAGGGAGGAGAGGGGGAGCTCAATGCTGGGGCTGAGTACTTGCTCTCTATCACCCCCAGGCATCATGTAGAAATCAAAAAGTTCCTCCTGGACTTCAAGGCTGTTATCAAAACATATGTGCCATGCAGGAGCATAGAACATATGTCATTTGACAGTGGTTAGTTTGACTTATAACTTGTAAATAGTTAAGCATATGGTAGGTGGGTCTCCATTTCTTTTAATTTTTATTTTATATTGGAGTATAGTCCATTAACAATGTTGTGTTAGCTTCACCTTCAGGTGTACAGCAAAGTGATTCAGTTATACATATACACGTATCTATTCTTTTTCAAATTCTTTTCCCATTTAGGTTATTACAGAATATTGACCAGAGCTCTCTGTGCTATAATGGTGGGTCTCCATTTTTACTCTTGCCCCAGACTCTGAGAATTCTAGGGATGGGCCTGATAAGGTGCCATTGCTCAGCTGAGTGATGCTTTATACAGTCTGTGACTGTTATAGTCAGAGTGCCACTCTTTGGGGGACCCAGTTTATTCAGGTGTTCCCACTCCAACCTCATACCTTGCTTGGTTGGGCTCTAGGTTTTATTTCCTGTCCAAAGAAAAATTTGACTACAGGGCTGAACAATCTCTCAGGTTTCTTACTTTCTTGTGGTTTCTTGGCCTCAGAGATTTTCCTCACTTTCCCACCCACTCAGTTATGCTTCTCAAAAGTTTATGCATCCTTGAAGGATACCAAATAAGATTTGAACCAATAAGGGACGCTAAATCACTCTCGATTGGAAAAACAAGATTGTGCAGATGTTAATTTGTTGTAAGTTAATTTAAAAATTTGTCTTAATGCCAATAAAGTTGTGTTTTTAATTTTAAAATGAGACAAACTAGTTCTGAGTTCATATGGAAAAACAAATAAAAATAGCCTGGGAAGCTCTAAAACAATAGGAGTCATCCTGATTGATATATGAGCATGTTTTAATGCTAAGTACGTAAAATTGCACTCTCACACGGGAGACAGACAAGCAGAATGGAATAGAAAACCCAGAAATATCTCAAAATACACCTGGGACTGCAGCACATGACCAAGGCGACATCTCAGATTGATGGGGGAAAGATGGACTGTGCAGTATTGGTGTTGAGAAAACCATCTGAAAAAAAAAAAAAGGTTGGGCCCATACTCACCCAGGATAAATGCCAAGTTAATCAAAGACTTACATTTAAAAATGAAACTATATTTATTGATAAGGGTTCTTTATGCAGATTCTGGAGAATCCTACAAATCAATCAAATGCAACTCAACAGAAAAATGAGCAAAAGACTGGAGCAGATATTTCATAAAAGACATAAAATAAGAGCCTAGTTGGCCAATACATACATGAAAAGATGCTTAACTTCATTAGTCCTCAGGGAAATACAAATTAAAACCACAATACCACTACACACCCACCAGAGTGGCTAAAATGAAACAAACAAACAAAATGTTGGCAAAGATGTTTAGCAACCATGACTCTCATGCATTACTGGTAGGTGGGTCAGTTGATAAAATCACGTGGGAAAACTGTTGGGTAGCATCCACTAAAGGTAAGCTTATGCCTACTTTGTAGCACAGCAATTTCCATCCTAGTATATATCCAACACACACGCATTCTTATGCTCACCAAAAGACAAATACACAAATGTTCACAGTAGGTCTCCAGTGGAAACATTTCCTTCCACCCCTGTCCTCCATCTGTTCTGGATTTCTTACTATGTAAGATGAATATATCAAGTCCTTGCTACTTAAAATGTTGGATCACCACTAGCAGCGGGAGCAATGGTTTTGTTTGTATTTTTTTTTGCGGTACGCGGGCCTCTCACTACTGTGGCCTCTCCCGTTGAGGAGCACAGGCTCCGGACGCGCAGGCTCAGCCGCTCCGCGGCATATGGGATCCTCCCAGGCCGGGGCACGAACCCGTGTCCCCTGCATCGGCAGGCGGACTCTCAACCACTGCGCCACCAGGGAAGCCCCAGGGAGCAATGTTTAACAGCTTATTAGAAATGCAGGATCTCAGGCCATGGCTCAGATACACCACCTTGATATCTACATTTTAATGAGGCCTCCAGACCATTTGTCCACCCATTAAAGTTGGAAAAGCCATAGATTAAGCCACAGTTAGTCAGCTTCTCTTCCGTTGCTTCTAACTGATACAGACATAACCCCAAACCTCCTGTCCTGCCCACTGAGGTATTTATTGGCTACCATCTTGTAGAGGTCATTTCACAGCCTTCTCTTTGCTCAAGCAACATATAGACATTATACTCTGGGGGGCATGGTTAACAACACGGACAGTAGAGTCAGAGTACTTGAGTGAAAAATCCCATACCTGCTTTTTTAAAAGAACAGATTTTTCTTTAAGAGCAATTTTTTAGGTTCACTGCAAAATTGAAGGGAAACTACAGAGAATTCCAATACACATACTGTCTCCTCTTATACACAGCCTCCTCCACCATCAACACCTCAGCACCAGAGGGGTAAATTCGTTCAACTGAAGAATATGCATTGACACACCATTATCACCCAAAGTCCACATCCAACTGTGTGGACGCACTACAGTTTATTGATCCATCACCTGCTGAGGGACACCTTGGTTGCCTCCAAGTTTTCACAATTACTATTAAAGCTGCTATTACGAATTACTAATAACGAATTAGTAATAACCTGCACTGAAGTGCAGGCTATTGTATAGATATAAGTTTTCAGCTACTTTGAATAAATACCAAGGAGTGTGACTGCTGATTGTATGGTTAAGGGTGTGTTTCATTGTGTAGGAAACCACCAAACTGTCTGTACCATTTTGCATTCCCACCAGCAATGCACGAGAATCCCTGTTGGTCCCCATCCTCGTCAGCATTTGGTGGTGTCAGGGTACCAGATTTTGGCCATTCTGATAGGTGTGTAGTGGTATCTCACTGTTTGTTTTTTGGTTTTTTTAATATTTATTTATTTATTTGGCTGTGCCAGGTCTTAGTTGTGCCACATGGGATCTTCACTGCGGCCTGCAGGGTCTTTAGCTGTGGCATGCAAGATCTTTTTTAGTTGCAGCATGCAAACTCTTAGTTGTGGGATGTGGGATCTAGTTCCCTGACCAGGGATCGAACCCGGGGAGCGCAGAGCGTTAGCCACTGGACCACCCTGGTGACAGAACATGGAGCATCTTTTCATTCACTTACTGGCCATCTGTATATCACCTGTGGTGAAGCATCTATTAAGGTCTTTGGCCCATTTTTAAATCAGGTTGTTTGATTTCTTATTGTTAAGTTTTAAGAGTTCTTTGCATGTTTTGCATAACAGTCTTTTGTCAGATGTGTCTTTTGCAAATATTTTCTTCCAGTCTGTAGCTTGTCTTCTGAATCTCTTGACTTTTGTCTTTTACAGAACAGAAGTTTTAAATTATAATAAAATCCAGCTTATCAATCATTTCTTTCATGGATTGTGCCTTGGGTATTAGATCTAAAAATTTGTTACCATCCCTGAAGAGTTGTAAGCAAAGGAGAAATAGTTTATGTTTTTAAAAGATTATTCTGGTTTAAGGATTGGAAGAAGCCATGGGAAAAAGCAAGGAGATCAATTAGAAAGTTTCTAGGCCATAGAAGAGCCACTTCATATAATTCAGAGTCGTGGGGGATGGAGTGGGAATAACTTATGTGAAATACTATGGGAACAAGGCCATTAGGAATTGGGCAAGGTTTGATCTTGTCAAGCAAACACTATTGACAATTCAGGAGAGAAGTGGAGAGATGCCGATTATGTCTTGGAGGCAGAGTCCACAGAGCTTGCTGACTCTTTGGGTATGGGCGGTGAGGGAAGCAGCCTTCTAAAACAGCTCCCAGTAATCCTGGTATTCAGGCCCTTGTGTAATCCTCTCCACCTGAGTGCAGAATGAATTTAATGCCTTGCTTCCAACAAGGAGAAGATGGCATAGTGATGGGATGTCACTTCCAAAAATAGATAATAAAAAACTGTTACCTCTGTCTTGATGGCATTCTCTCTCTGGCTCTTCTGATGTACTTATTCTGATAGAGAGAGCCACCTGGCAAGGTACTGAGGGCAGCCTCTGACCAAGAGCCAGCAAGGACCAGAAACCCTCAGTCCAATGAACTGAAACCCTTCCGACGACCATGTGAGTGAGCTTGGGAGCAGCTCCTTCTCCAGTTGAGCCTTCAGATGAGACCACCACCCCCAGGCCAACACTTTGATTACAGCCTTTTGAGAGCCTGTGAAGCAGAGGACCCAGCCAAACCGTGCTGGATTCTTGACCCACAGAAAGCATGAGGTTGTATGTGTATTACCTCAAGCCACCACACTTGGGGTAGTTTGTTATGCAACAACAGAGAACTAATACAGGAGGTGAGAGGAAACAGAGAAACCAAGGTTGGTTGCCACCTAATTTCTGGCTTGAGCAACTGAGTATCTAGACAAGGGGAGAAACAGATTTCTGGGGTAGGGGGACAAATACACAAGCATCTGGTATATTTTGACATCCAAGTGACAAATGGGATGAGTCATAGATGTGGTATCTGGAATCTTTTTTCCATGATGCTAGATATCAGAATGTAACCCAAACATGAATTTGGATGCAGGGGAAGGAGATAAATCAGGCCTTTCCTTTGTTTCAGCAAGGTAAAAGAAAACAGAGTCCTCTGTTTGGTCAAACCTAGTTGTTCCAAGTTCTACTTTGGTGTTTGAGGCCAAAACCTTAGCTGTTAGCCAAGTGTTACTTTGCCTTATTTTATTCTTATTGCATGTGTCTCCTTGAGGAAGAGAGGAAGTGGCAAGACAGAGTTTGGGAATTCTTGCTTCACTGGGCCACATACTAACATAATAGTGGCCATTTCTAAACTTGGAAGGCCTGAACACCAGGCTTTAGCCTATCCCAGTGTTTCTCCACAGTGCCCCCCCGCCGTGTTGGCAGTTGGCCCAGGACAATTCTTTGTGCTGCTGGAGTGTCCTGAGCATTGTGGGAGGTCCAGTATGTGCCAGTAGAACTTGCCAGTTATTGTGACAACCCAAAACATCCTTCCCCCAATTCCAAATGCATCCTGGCGGGACGATACCTCATCCTCAGTGGAAATCGATGGATTTTTTGGTGCTCATTCACCTGCAACATCTGCTGTGCACACCTTGAGCCTGCATCCTGCCATCTCTTAGGTGCCTACTTGGCCAGAGAGGTTCCAGGTGTTTAAATATTCTCATTCCTAGAACTTTAAATACAATGGGATCTCAAAGAATTAAAATGTAACGCTAATATGAGAACCATTCGGAATATAACTGAATTTTAGACGATTTATAAGGCAACATGGAATCTTGTAGAATCTCAGAGACGTTGTCATAACTGCTGTTCGTTGTCACGTGGCCAAGCAGAAAAGAGAGTTAATAGAACGCTGGCTGTCAGTTCATGGTGAATAATAAGAGGAGGTGTCCTCATGCTTCACATTGATGCTTGGGGATGCCCTGGAAGAAGAGCTGGGAAACTCTGGAAACTTCATCTGGTGACTGCGGCTGTTAAAGTCTCAGAAACATTCATTTCTACACTGGCTTGTGAATATTACTCTATATCAAATCTACGTCAGAAAGAAAAAAATGTGCATTTATGTATATATGACGAGCTCTGTTTTATTGTACTAATTATCACAGAGCTTTTATTGGGCACCAATTGTGAGCCAGGCACTGTGCGAGTTTCTTCGAATGCTTTGTTTAATGTAATGTCCACACAACGGCTCTGCGGAGAGCAGCAATACAATCCCAGTTTGCATGTAAGGAAATTAAGGCTCAAGAAAGTTGTGCCACTTGCTCATGATCACCTAGCCTAGATCACGAGCAGCAGAGTCAGATTTCAAACCCAGACTCTAGAATTCACTCTGTAACTTGTTTAGACAACGTGGATCTGGAGTGGTTATCTTACAGGTACCCACCAAGTGCCAGGCCCTGCATTGGGAAAACTGGACAGAGATGTCCCTGCCTGATTGGATGTATGGGTAGGTGCACGAGTGCGTGGATAGATGGGTAAAAATAAATGATGGGGCAAATGCATGGAATGAGAGAGAATCCGATGAAGAGAAGATGGAATGGGAGAGTAAGTGAATGAGTGACGGAACTGAGGAAGTAAACGAGGGAATGGAACGTAATGGGAGACAATGAATGAATGAACGAATGAATGAATGAGTGGATGAATGAGGAGGTGAGAGGTTTTTAGGCTGCCCTACCTGAAGACGGAGCGCCTGGCGGCTGGCGGGTGGGCGGACGAACGGGCGGCTACTCCACACAGTACGGTAGGCGCGGGCTGCCCCTCCTCGGGCCGGCTCACGCCTCCCCCTCCCTCCCCTTCTTCCTCCTGCGTCGCGCGCCCGCTCGCCCGTCGGCCGCCCGGACCCCAGTCCCCGGCTGGCGGGCTGAGGAGGCGGCCGTCGCGCGCCGCTGCCCTCGCCCCGCCGCCGCTGCCGCCGCCGCCGCCGCCGCCCGGCGCGCCGCGATGCGCAGAGGGGCCGGGCCGCCGAGGCGCGACGGCCGCCTCCTCAGCCCGCCAGCCGGGGACTGGGGTCCGG